CTAGGGGCACCTCGAGGCTGGGCCAGGGCTGCGGGGCGTGCAGTTGCCGGAGCCAGGCTAGATGAGGAGACCTGGCGGTGGGTCAAATGCCATTGCCCCTTCTCATCAAGGGAAGCCCTGCGGTTAGCCGAACAATTTGATACTGCCCAGGGAGACCTTCATAAAGGCAGTGGGAATAAAGGAAAAGTCACCACTGCTAGACAAGATAAGGAAAGCAAGGGAAATAGAAGAGGTAGCCCCACAAGGCTGGTATGCTTCTGTGTGGGCGAAAGGGGCATTTCGTCAAGAACTGCCCATAGGGGCTTCAAACGGGGCCAGGCAAGGGCACAGAATCCTTTGATGACCGGAGACGGTTAGAAGAACCAATGGAGACAGAAGTGATGGATTGTGGGGTAGGAGGCCGAGGAGCGGAGGGGATCCAGCCCCTACCAGAAATCCGTGTCTGGGTCGGAGGGCGTCCCATCACAGCAGTAGTAGACACAGGCTGCGCCCAGTCGCTGGTCCATCCCTCACTGATGAAATGGCAACAGGTGCGACAGTGTCCCAGAGTACATATGCTCTGTCTTCATAAACAGAAATCGTATGTAGAAAGGCAGCTACTGGACATGCAAGTAAGGGGCACCTGGCGACATGCCGGTGGGCCTTGATGAGGATATTTTATATCCTAAGATCTTAGGCCGGGACTGGCCAGAGATCTGTGACATAATAACCACACTCTGACGGCCTGAGGACCCAAGAGAAGGAATGGCAGGAATCGAGTCTGAAGGGACCGACAAGGCGGAAATGGAGACATTAACCAACACTAGCTGTTTCAGAGAGGCTCAGAAGGATGATCGAGAGCTGCAGCCGTTTCGAGAAATGGAAGCAGAACGACTGACCACTCAGGTAAGGCCCCCCGAACAGGAAAGGCCAATTCCCTGGGTAGAACTGAGAAGAGGGCTATTGTATAGAATAAAGGCAGGCCGGACTGAGGGAGAAGAAGTGGCCCAGCTAGTTATACCCCAGTCCTACAGAAATCCTCTCTTAAAGCTAGCACATAACAACCCCCTTGGAGGACACCTGGGGAAACATAAAACAGAGGCCCGACTTACGCGATGGTGTTTCTGGCCTCGCATGTGTAAGGACATTGAAAGATACTGTAAAGCCTGCCAGGCCTGCCAGAGGGTTAGTGCCTACAAGCCCCCCAAAGCGCCCCTACAATTAATGCTGGTGATACGAGAACCATTTGCTCGGGTGGCATTAGATGTGGTCAGCCTGTTGCCTCGGAGCACAGGGGGACATCAGTTTGTCCTGGTGTTGATTGATTACACGACCCGCTTTCCCGAAGCCATTCCGTTGAGAACAGTCACAGGGCCCAAGGTGGCCGAAGAGCTGATGAAGTGGGTGGCTAGGTTCGGGATACCCAAGGAGATTATGACAGACCAGGGAACTAATTTTATGTCATCAGTGTTGGGAGCCTTATGTAAGGTACTACAAGTACACCACCTAAAAACCTCGGTGTACCATCCACAGACCAATGGCCTGGTAGAACATTTCAATGGAACGTTAAAAGTTATGCTGTGGCGGTGCACTCAGGCTGAACCAACAAAATGGAACTTGATGGTGCTGCCTTTATTCGTGGTCAGAGATGTTCCTCGATCTTCCCTAGGGTATTCACCTTTTGAGTTGACATTTGGGTACAAGCCTCGGAGCCTGCTAGATAAAGGAAGAGTGGGAGGCCGAACCAGACCCGGGAAGGGGGGCCCCCAGTGCATGTACAGAAGTTAAGGGAATGTCTGCGGGCAGTGAACGAAGTAGCCCAAGCTAATCTAGAATGTGCTCAGGACAAGCGAAAAGAGAGGTATGATAGTCAGGCCAGAACAAGGGAGTTGAGGGTAGGACAAAAAGTGTTGGTACTACTGCCCAGTGCAACCAGCAAGTTTGTAGCAAGCTGGCAAGGACCTTTTACCATCACCAAAAAGGTAGGTCCTGTAGGCTATGAGGTATTACGCCCAGGTGCTAGAAAAAAGCGACAGATATACCATATTAACATCTTAAGGGAATGGCATGAGCCAGAGGGCCTACTTATATCACGGGACCCTGAGATGGCTGAACCCGGGGCACTAACGAGTAGCGATAAAGAGAGTGACTCGCCGCGAGAACAAATAGCAGTGGGGAAGCAGTTGCAAAGTAACCAGCTCTCGCAGTTAAAGGAGTTATTAAGGGAATTTAAAGATGTTTTTACTGAGCAACCCGGGAGAGCAGTTGGAATCGAACATAAGATTATTACCAAGGAGGGGCAAATAGCTAGGGAAAGGTGGCGCAAGATTCTTTATCACCGACAACAACCCATAAAAGAAGAATTGGAGAAAATGTTAAGGCAAGGAATTATCGCTCCTTCACGCAGCCCCTGGCGTAGTCCCCTAGTCGCGGTGGAAAAGCCGGACAGGAGCTTAAGGCTATGCATGGACTTTAGGAAATTAAATGCTATGTCCCAGTTTGACGCATTCCCAATGCCTCAGGTCAATGAACTGGTCGAGCGTATAGGACAGGCAAGTTTTGTTTCTACCCTAGACCTGTCCAAAGGCTACTGGCAGATTCCATTAAGGAAAGAAGATCGACCTAAAACAGCCTTTGGCACACCATGGGGTTTATTTGAATTTAGGAGAATGCCTTTTGGCTTGAATGGGGCTGCGGCCACATTTCAAAGACTAATGGATTGGGTCCTAGCCCCACACCAGGGCTACTCCGCGGCCTACATTGATGATATTGTGATATATACAGAAACCTGGGAACAGCACCTAAAAGCCCTCTGGGCCATTCTGCGTTAATTAAGACAGGTGGGCTTAACTGCTAACCCAAAGAAATGCGCCATAGGAAAGAGAGAAACCAAGTATCTGGGATTCTTGGTTGGACAAGGGCGCATAAAACCTCTCATGGACAAGGTAGAGGCGATCTGGGACTATGTGGCTCCCACGAACAAGAAGCAAATGCGGGCATTCCTTGGGCTGGCGAGGTACTATCGAAGGTTCATCCCTAAGTTCACCAAAATGGCTAACCCTTTAGTTGAAACCACGAAAGGGCGCAAGGCAGGTAACATCAAATGGAATGAGAAGCGATTACAGGCGTTCAGAGATCTAAAAAAGGCTTTGTGTCAGGATGTAGTTCTACTTACACCCAACTTTGATCTTTCTTTCACGCTACAGACGGATGCCTCAGCTTACGCCCTGGGAGCAGTGTTATCGCAAGAAGTAGAGGGGGTAGAGCGACCAATAGCCTATGCCAGCCGACGACTTGAAGACCACGAAAAGAGGTATTCTACTATTGAGAGGGAATGTTTAGCAATTTGCTGGGGAGTGGATTATTTTAGATTTTACCTCCTCGGGCGGGAATTCATGCTGGTCATGGACCATGCTCTGCTAAGATGGCTGAACACAGCCAAAACTGACAATGCACGTATCACATGATGGGCTTTAGCCCTCCAACCTTTCCAATTCCGGGTGGCGTATAAGCCAGAAAAGGACAACACGGTCGCGAATTTCTTGTCAAGGTGTGGAGAAGAAACACTAAGGGAGGATAGAGAGGAGGAGAAAGAGCGAAAGGAAACTAGGGGAACGCCTAATAGTGTCTTGAGGGGCGGGATATGTGGGGGAAGAAGGGGGCTGGCGAGTCCTAAAACCCCATGCCCTGGCGTTAATAGACCCACGTTACACCATGCAGCACAAAATACCTGGGCAGGATTACTTACCCTCCACAGGTGTGCCTGGGAGGAGGGGCCCGAATCAGTTCGGGCTACTATAAAGGAAGTGCCAATGGCCCCTGAGGAGGAGGAACCGGAAGCAAGCGGCGGCAGCATTGAGGCTGGCGGGAACGCTCAGGGAAGCATGAAAACAGCCCGGCAGCACAGCAGGATCTTCTGGGGTAAGGGAAAACCCTGCGGGGTCCGGGAGCCGGGAGCCAGCGGCACTGCCGTCCCTTAGGTCGTTTGTGGCTGAAGAGCGGTTCGACCTGGCAGGAGGCGGGAGCCGTATGTACTTTAATAGAGGGGCACTCAGAGTGAATGTGTCCCACCAATAACTAAGAAGGTCGAGGGTCCCCAGGGAGCCCGGGAGGGGACCAAAGGGCTCAAGAAGAACCTGGGAGAGGGCACTAATGCCCACAGCAGACGGGGAAACACCCTGGGGGCCAGCAAAGTAACCTGACAGCTCCCCGGCTGGTGAGGAGCCCTAGCTGCTAGCTTTGTGTTACTGTCTACCTTTTTCGTTTGTGAAGCTGGTGTGGACAAACTGACGAGGGCCTGCTTGGTGGGCAGTCCCTCCATTCTGGTGGAACGGGCGAGGGTGTAGGGGCGGCAGAGCCCTCGGCTACGCGGGACGCCCCCAGAGACCCTGGAGTCTCATCTTCGGACTGGCACACACTGGACTATAAACACTGAACCAGGTAATCATCAAAGACATGGCAGGCGGGCCAGACGTGTGCAGACAACGGTGAGCAACACTGTGTGGGTCATTGGGGGACAACCCTGAAGAAAGAGGGCAGGGGTTACAGTAAAGGTAGACGACGAATCCCTGCCCCGCACACCATCCATAATTAACACACATCCATTTTATAATGCTGTAACTTTTCAAAGCCTTTTACCGATTGTAATGCTCATAACTCCACGAGGAAGAGAGGTAAGTGGATGTTGTTATTCCTAATTTACAATTAAGAATGCGAGGAAATGGATAACTGGAGAAAATAAAAAGGGGAAGCAAAGAGCTACACTGTGTTGGTGGCAGAACCATGACTGCAAGAAAAACAACCCATCGATGCAGTAACCCAGTCTGTCCTAATTACTGTTAATACAAAATGACAGTGGTTCAAATGGACATCAGAAAGTCTTAACCCACCAGTCAGATACATATAGTGACATTTTCTCTCCATTTTCAAATTAGCCTGAGAACTTTTTAGTGAAAATCAAGCTATTTATCTGAAGTGCTGGCTTGTACATGATAAAATAGTTAAGAAAAATGTAAATATACCTTCAAAAGTGGGTCCAAAAATTGACTCACCATCATCTCCTCTTCCACCTGCAATGTCTGTACATTACACAAATACAAGGATTAGAATTCAGATTAATACAATTATTAGCATTAATTAAAATTATCTTTTGGTAGTGTCAGCGGATGTCAAAAACATGGATTATGCCCGGGCAGACAGTGACATTTTTACAGAGCAGTATTGGAAGCCTACATGGGTGCACTGGTCTGCTTGCACACTATTAGTTTCAGGAATAACTGGATGCTTCGGCACCCTTGATAGTAGTGGTGTATGGGACAGCATCAATAGATGTGCTGCTGGTGGGAGTGGGAGTGAAGGTGGGAGGAAGGAGTACAGCTTCTGCTATTTTTGTGCTGCCTTCTCCCTCAGAGTCAGCACCTGGGGCTGGTGCCTCAGTCATTCTCTCTTTATTAAGCTACTATGCAGGATCAGGGCCTTAATGGGCATGCATCATTAATTCTCCTTCCACCCAAGAAGTGGGTCTTTCAACCAAGAATGACTTACTCTACATAGATGGTAAGAAGCAAATATCTGAATACCATTTTAGTATTTATATTCATGAAAGTACCCATGTACTTGAACAAATACTGGCTGGAGTAGGAACAGCCAAAAGGGAAAAAAAGGAAGAAATTAAGCTAGAAGAGAAGTTGAGAGGAAGAAGCAAAGGAAAACATTCAAAACAGACCTTAGAGAGAGTCATTTATTACGCCTTTCTCTTAGATTCAGAATGCCACTATTTATGTACAACTGCTCTTCACCTGTGTTCCAGTTTATCAAAACTTTGGATTTCTATATTTGCCTAAATGATTTACTAAATTAATGTCTCTATAAAATATATACTGTAGGAAGCTTATTATGATTTGTATTGATGTTTTAATGTTTCCAGGCAATTTCCCAATTTCTTGCTAAAGGATCTGTGAAAAAATGTTGGATGATAAAAATCTAGCCTTTTTATCCATACTTGACTGTCATTAGAAAATGAGATGACCGGGAGAAAAGATGGCATTACTGGATATATAATATCTTAGTTAAAATCTTGTTCTTCACATATTCATTACATCGCTAAGATCAGGTTCATTTTGTTGGAAGAATACCATGTCACCCATGCAGATTATTCCATCCAAATTCTGGTATTACTCAGATTGACTAAGGGCATTTTTAAACATACCTCCTCCTTGTATCCAGCCATTTTTTACTATTCGATGAAAAATGGATTCTTTGTAAGTAAGTTGCACACCACTGTGAGAGATCCCTGCTTCTCCTGTACACAGAGCACGGAAATTCTCACAAGTCTTGGGGCATGCATCAGAATAGAGCTACAAAATGAAGGGGAAGGGGGGGAAAAAAGATGATGTGACAGGCACAATTAAGGTCAAAATGTCAGATCTGTGCAGGCCTTTCTCTTGCAAGCAATGGCTGCAATTTGTTTTTCCTATGTAGCTTACCTCAAACAACAGTGTCCCTAAGGGCTGTTCCTGAATAGCTGCATCCAAATACACAAACACATGCTGTTAAATCAGAAAGACAAATCCAGTTACAAAATTTGAAATAATTCATATAAATGTTCACTAGCTTGGCTGTTCATGTGAACATTTTCCTGAAAATCTCAGGGTTTAAACTTTTTCACACTGAATATCTGAAATATTCACCCAGACTCAGGTACCAAAACAGGTTGTAAAATGGTGAAGTATTAGCAGCCTAATCTAGGATTTTGTTGAAACAAATTCATCACATTTTATTAGGCTTGGAAACAAACTATCCAGAGCACTGTGAGATATGAGTCAGGGCTCATTTCATCTATGTAGGAAGTAGAGGCAAGATCACATAAACCAATGCACAACAAACTAATCCTTAGTACTGCTAATTTATCCACCAAAGCAAATACTTTTTTCTAGATGATTGACCATTAGCAATATTTAAAGGGGTAAAAAAATAAAATTCTAGTTAGCAAGTAGAAAACTAATTCAACAGCTGCAATGGATAAACTGATCTTCATGGGGGAAAGGATTTTTAAAATTGTAACAAATGAATAAAGTTTTCCAGAACACAAACAAAAATTAACCAGTTCATTAAACAGTGTGAGGAGCTCTAACTAGGGCTATCTGAAAGTCTTCAGAATGTGGATTCAGAAAAGCATTCAACAGATCAACTGCTTATCAGAAGTGTGTCCAGATAAGCTTCTTATGGAACCATTGCTCTACTAAATTCAAGGGAAGTTTTGCCATTGACTTCAATGCATCCAGAATTTCACATCCTGAGTCGATAAACTAGGTAGGAAATATCAAAAGCATAGGTTAGAAGCAAGTTGTTCTGTCATATCCTTTACTCGTCCAATTGTATAGCTGGGAGAGATGTTAGACAAGCTTTTGAGCACAAAGTGCCCTTCTTCAGGTCCTGAAGAAGAGCACTTCACGCCCATAAGATATCACCAATAAAAGATCCTTGACTAAGGAGAAGACTCTAATTTTCTTCCCTCTGGATATTTAGAAGGAAAGCACTATCCTTTTTGCACTCCTTTATCCAAATGCACTCTGGAAAACTCTCTCATCCTTCTGCTGTCTACCTTCCTTCTTCCTTTTCTTCCTCTAATGACAGATGTTAGGGGGCAATCAGGTTGGATGTCTTGATTTTTTGGCCCAGGTCTGGTTTTCCTGGGATACCATGATCTTAAATTTCTATTTTGGCTCAGTGATGTAAGAATCAGTTCCCCAACCCAAGGTAGCCATACCTCTCTAACACTATCTCCCAGACAGATGACTCTTCCCTATTCTCTTGAAAACTGTGGGGAAAAAGAGACTCTTTCTCCCATCTTGTCTGTTCCCTGGCTGTGATAAATAATGCTTTCCCATCCTTGTGTGACAGTGGGTTTCAAGCATGTGTTGCTTTTTGCTATAGCCATGGGTGGATCTAGGATTCTGAAAAGGGGGATGCAGCTGGTGTGGCACATCTTCACATTTAATACAACGCATATTTGTCTCCTGTTACAGAGAAACCAGAATCTTCCTTAATATATAGGGGGCTAGCCCTATATTCAGTTTAAGATCAAAGCAAAAACAAATATAACTATTGGAACATGCACTAACTTGCTAGATTATATATACATTTTGAAAACTATACAGCTAACTGTGCAAAAAAATAGTCAAAATGGTCAGATAAAATTGTCTCAGTCCTGTAGGTATTATAGTTAAATGTACATCACTTATTCATATTCATAAAATGAAATCTAACTTTCCTGAGCATCTTGACAATGCTTCGAATGCTTCATCACCAGCCATTTCTACACCTGAGTTAATGTTAATGCACCTGAATTAAGGTTTTTACCTACAGCTAAAATCAGTCTTCAAGCCTGTGAAATAGAAGAGACATGACCAGGAATGACTAACAGAGAGAAAAACTGCAGAATAAAGGGTAGTCTGAATAGTGGAACATCAAGACCACTTGAAAGGATAGAGGGTCATTAATATCTGTGCAATGGAGAGAGACTAGCAGAAATCAAGGAGATAATGAGCCATGAAGCCAACTGACTCTCTCAGCACTTCTAGAGCAGAAATGTTGTCGCCCCTTCCAAGCAGTTGGTTTTAAAGTTTGGGTGGAACAGGAATCAAAGGAGGGTGCAACTGCACCTTCCCTGAATTCCCCCCTGGCCATAGCTCTCGTGGTGCTGGCAGTGGCAGAGGGAGGAACTAGGAACTACAATGCCTCTGTGTCCTTTCATTCCTTGTTGGGTTTGAAATTTTGCCCAAAGCACGAGGGAAGGCAGGGAACCTTAGCTGGGCTTTTATGTACGATCACTAATTTGTGTATTTCACTAGAAATACTGTAGCATGAACCTTCCTGTCTTGGAAATTTAGAGTCCAGCCCAAGACATTGAAATCTGGGTGGCAGCCATAGGCACAAGGTCCTAAGACCTAAAGACGTAAAAAGTGATATCTAGAAGGTAACAACCTCGCCCTGCCCCAACACACAACCCCATTGATAAGCCCACATAAAATACCAGTCAGTACAATTAGATAGTTTATAATGAGTCACAGACCCCACATTTTCCTTTTAGGAAACAAGGACACCTGCCTGGGTATTTCTCATATATTTTGTGCAGAAGTCCTCAGTAATAGCTTGGTAAAGTGCCTCAGGTTTAAAATCCTGATAGTTCCACTTTTCAAAAGCCCACTCGAGCAGTTTCTTCTCGTTTCCCAGCAGCCGCCCATCAACAAAACACATCACCCTGGAGGGGTACTCCCATATTTCGCCTCGCAGTTCCTGGAGTAAAATTAAAAATGAAAAGTGACAGGAATTACACTTTGGCTTCTGTACAAAGGCATTCATTAAAATATGCTTAGGTTGGTGAGTGTGGCATAATTGGAGGGTTTTTTTAGATTACTTGTGGTTTTGTGCTTTCCCTTCACTCATGCAATGAAAAACAACAGCTCAAAAATGAAACATTAAACGTCTTTCCAAAATCCTGTTATGTTACAGGACATTATCCTGAAGAGAAATATCCTGGCTCCATATCTGGAACAGCTGAGAGGATTGTACCATAAAACCTATTCACAAAACTGGGTGTAGTCTCCATTATCTATAACTGAGTGAGGAAGTCTCAGGAATAGCAAGACTTTTGAGCTACGTTTCAGCAGTCATGAATAATTGTGAGCCTTGATAGCTATATTTTTACCAAGGGCTTTTGGTGAACTTCTCCCACCATTTCTTCAGCACTTGTGCAACTTCATCAAGTAATGGTGAGAGCACTAGCAAAAAGCAACTTCTGGTATTTTAAACAGAGCAGGCCAAGGCAACATGGCAGTAAGAACAATGCTGGCTGGTCTACAGTGTCCTTCTCCTTGATCCACTCTGGTGCCACCGCAAGAAGGGAAGCTTAAAAAACACAAAACAAGACACCTGTGTAAAACAGGTTTAGTTTGTTTCATCTGAACAATGCTGTTACAATCCAACAGAGGTAACTCAAGAAACATGCATGGAACTGGGATTTTGAAAAAGGGGGGTGCCAATGGAGAGGTGCATCATTACATACAAAACAACACACATTTTTCTCCAGCTAAAAATAACCTAGATGCTTTATGAATATGTTAGGGGCTTAGAGCTATATCTTTTAGTTTAAGATTGAAGAAAAACAAATATAACTTCACTGGAATGAGTTAAAACAATCTGTAGGGCTGTGAAATAGGAGCTTCATTACCAGGAACAGCTACCAGCAGAATTGCAGAACAAAGAATAGCCATTAAAAAGATGCCATTAAAAAGACAAAAGGGTCATTAAGACCTGCAGAATGAAGAGTTCAGAAGGGATGAGGTAGATTATAATGAGCCATGAAGTCAATTGACTCCCTCAGCAGCTGCCTGACTAGAAATGCTGCTGCCACTACCAGGCAGTTGGTTTTAACCATTAGGTGGACCAGGAAACAAGGGGAGGTGGAAGTGCACCAGTACACCCCTTCCCTGGATCCTCTTCCTGTCAAGAAATCATAAAAACCATCATTCATAGGTAAGTTCTATTCTTGGACATATAAATGCAACTTTTACTGAGTTAAAAATGGATCCACTGTACATACTCATTATTATGGCATCTAATTGCATGTTAGACTAGAATAGGAAAGTGCATTTTTACAATCTGAGAATATAATCTTGGAGGAATTGCTAGCACTTTTAGAGGACAAGACTACATTTTAAAATGGTTTTGAAAAATTGGAGAAATGATCTGAAACCAATAATAACATTCAATTAAGACAAATGCAAAGTGCTGCACTTAGGAAGGAGAAATCAAGTGCACAAATTCAAAATCAGGACTAGCTTGCTTGGCAAGAGTACAGCAGAAATATATATGGAATTTAGAGTGAATCACAAATAGAATGGATCAATAATGTGATATGGTTGCAAAAAGACAATGTTCATTCTGAGATGTAACGAGAGTGTTGCAGGTAAGACATGGAAGGTAATTATTCTCTGTTCTGTTCTGGAAGCCTCAGCTGGAGACCCATGTCCAGTTTTAGGCACCACAAATTAAGAAACAGGGTAACAAACTGGAGTAAGTCTAGAGGAGGGTAACAAGAATGACAGAGCTTTATAAAACGTGATTAATATAAAAAGTTTGAATGAATTGGATTTTGGTTCAGACAGGAGAAGGGGAAGGGGATGTTAACTGTCTTCATATATGTAAAAGGTTGTTATAGAGTAGACTGGGGTAAGTTGTTCTCTGTGTCCACCAATCTGCTTAATTTGCAGCAAGATTTAGGCTAGAAATTAGGAAAATCTTTCAAACAATAAGGTAGTTAAACAGTGCAACACGTTACTTAAGGAGACTGTAGAATCCCCTTCTATTGGCTTTTTTCCAGAACAGGTTACACAGCCATCAATCACAGGTAGTCTAAGTATACTTGATCCTACCTCAGAGCAGGGGGATAAATTAAATGACATCTTCAGATGCCTTCTAGTTCTGCATTCCTATAAAGTTGTTTCTACTGTTGTGAAGAGTTCAGTGGTCTTTAAGGGTCATTCCAGCTCCAATGCTGATGACATGAATGTTGTTTTCCAGTGAAACAAACATTTTTGTCAGTGTAACAACCCTATTGAGCAACTCAATAGTTTAAATTAACTCATCAGAGACTTTAACATAGACACTATCCATATAATCTTTAGTAATTTGTCTTTTGGTTCTCTAGCATTCTTGCAGCCAGGAATTAAGTCATAGTCCCATGATATATCAGTACAGAGAGAGATTTGCCTAAATACCTAAAGATGCGTGTACAGGTGATGGGGGTTTAGTCCCTAAAGTGAAGTGGTGGGCTTTTAATTGTGACCATTAAAAAACCCTCTGTTTCAATTTAGGGGCTTCCATCACTGTTAGGGCAAAGGGCCTGATCTTTTTTTCTTTTTGCAAAGCCTGCCTGCCTCTCCCATGGCCAGGGGACAAGCTGCTGGCTGGCCTAGTGGCCCCTGGTTCTTCCCTTCACAAAAGCAGCACCCCCTGGGGCTGCCTGGGCAGGCAGCTAGTGGGCAGGTGCTTCCCAGCTCAGAGGGAGCACCCGCCAGATCCAACTCTTCCCTAAGCCCTCTGGGCTTCCAGCGCCATGTGCACTGTCCCCGTCACCTGGGACTGCCTGGGAATGGGCTGGCTTGGGGCAGCATGAGGGAGTGGCAGGAGGGCAGCTGGGTGTGCTGGCGGCCGGAGAAGGTGGCGGGGAGAGTGAATACTGTGTTGGAAGCCGGTCTTTCGCTGTGTGCTGGTGGCACCCCCTGGGGTCGCCTGGGTGGGCAGCTAGCAGGCTAGATACAACTCTTCTCCAGCACTGCATACACTGCCCCTGCTGTCTTCTCCAGCTGCCCTCCTGCCGCCCCAGGGACGAGCCAGCCCATTCCTGGGCAGTCCCAGGTGGCGGGAAGGTGGTGGGGACAGTGCATGCAGCTCAGAAAGCCCCAGTGGGCTCAGGAAAGAGTTGGATCCGGCAGGTGCTGCCTCTGAGCTAGGGAAGTACCCAGCTGCTGGCTGCCCACCCAGGCGGCCCCAGGGGGTACTGCTGCCATGGAGGGAAGGACTGGGGCATCCCGCAACTCAGGGGCTGCTCAGCCTAGCGGCAGCTTGTACACACAAGCTCTGCCAGAAAAAAAAGAAGTGGCAAGGGGCCCAATCCTTTTTTCTTTTTTTTTTGCTGAGCCTGCCTGTGGCCTGGGGGCAAGCTGTTGTTGGGCCCTGAGCTGTGGGGAGCCCCAGTCTTTCCCTCCAGTGGTAGTGCTGCTGGGGCCACCCAGGTGGGCTGCTAGTAGGCTGGGGGCCTGATATACCTGTTCTCCGAGCCCAAGCTGGGGCAGCCCCCAACCTGCTAGCAGCCCATCCAAGTGGCCCCAGGAGGTGCCACCACCACAGAGGGAAGAACCAGGGCTCCCCACATCTCAGGGACCACTTAGCCCACTGGCAGCTTCCCCCCCACCTCCCCCCAGCCATGGGACACGTGGGCAGGCTTTGCAGGGAAAAAAAAAGGATTGGGCCCCTCACCACTTCTGCCTTCAGCTCGCCTCTCCCTTGGCCAGGGCAGGGGGGTAAGTGTCAGATTAAACGCTGCAAAGTTACAGGTAACTACATTGCAGACTAAACTACATGGGGATGTGGTTTATTTTGCAATGTAACAAACTAATTTCAATTGCAAAAAAACCCATACGTGTCAACTGTGTCACAATTAAACCGCAAAAATGGATAATTTTCATCACATGTACAAGCACCCTAAGTGTTCACTTTTTAATGATTTGTTTTGTTTTGACAGTGACATTTATCAGAGGGCAAAATCAAATCTAGCTGGTAAGACAGTAATGCCAAATGCAATTTTGGTAAAAGCAGGCATAGCTCATTTGTCTTAAGTGTATTTCAGTTAATGGATGCCAAAGGGAAAATTAACCCAAAGTTTTCCAAATTAGCATCACCATAGTACAGAAAGTGGTCTATAAGCCCAATGAAGTCTATTTTAGTGAAAAGTTTTCAAAATGCTACCTGCCTTTTGTAAAACCTCCAATGCCAAGAGTGGCTACATAAGTATATGAAAAGCAGAATTATGTGTCACATATGGAAACTCTACCCAGTAACTCTAGATATCTGGAAAACATTTTCGGCTGATGCCAAGATGCGGAATGAGATCTATTCAGACCTAATCATGGTCTGCTTGAATTAGGAGCTAGGCACATTGACAGGAATATCTACAACTGCAATAAATTCCTCAAGGCCAACTTGAAAAAAAATGCAACATCAACATCAACCCATGGAAGACTATCACCCAGGACCACCCCAAGTGGAGAAAGAGTCTGATGCAAGGATCTTAGTACTTTGAAACTTTACGATGACAACAGGAGATGGAAAAGCAGGAGTGGCAGAAACAGTGTGCATCAGACCAAATCAAGAATCCAGAGCTACCCACCCTACATGGAAACACGTGCCTGAGCTGCAGCGGAGATTGTTGATCCCAGATAGGCTTCGTCTGCCATCTTTGGACCCACAGATAAGACACTCATGAAGACAATCATCCTTGACTGCGAGGGATTACTGAAGGAAGGGAAATTCAGGACTTGTTTTCTAGTGTTGCTAATATTCTCCCTTCTGCACTACAGTGATGCTAATTTGGAACGCTTTGGGCTAATTTTCCCTTTGGCATACATTGATTGAAGTATAGTGCATTGGAAAGATCAATACCTGCTTTAGAAATGAGATCTACCTTAGATCCCTTCCCAAGCAAAACAAAATACCTGCTTATTTTATTTGTTTTGGCACCAGATTCTTTACAATTCTATAGAAATTAGTGTTCACTCAAAGCAGATAAAAACAGACAGTCTCACCTTTTTCTTCTCCTGTAAATATTCATGCCATGCAAATTCTTGTAAGGGAAGCAATACAGGCTCTGCGATCTTAGTTGGAAAATTCAGCCTCAGAGCCTAGAGTTTTTAAGATAAATATTTGTTCAGAGTTAATAGGATAACTGTAGATAATAATCCTATTGCATTTCTGTATGTAAACACTGTGAGGTGTGGTTTACTCTGATCACTTCATAATGTAGTCTTCATACTTCCATAGTAAATATGCAGCTAGTTATAGAAGTCTATGCAGACTGCTTTAAAATCAATATAAATATGTGTTAAAACCAGAAAACACAAGGGTTTTTTAACACTGTAAAATAGCTCGGTTACAAATACAAAGTAGTTACACTCCCTACGCACTGTTCAGAGAGGTAAAAAGAGCCCCACAGATTACCAGCTCTCTGAGCATCAGCTTCTCCTAACTTTACAGAGAGGTGTAGGTTTCTCAGCATCTTGCAAGATCAGGTCCAAGGCCACAGAATAACCAGTGTTGCAGCTAGAACTGGGGAGCTCCTGAATTTCACTCTGTCATGTTGCCTCTGTCCTTTTATCAAGAATATGCCAGAAATTAGATAAGCGTCATGAGATCATCTGGCCTCATCTTCTGGGTCAGAGCAGAACTGCTCCCATAAGCACCTTTTCTATATTCAATCTGCTGTACAACATTTTAACAATTTATATGCCCCTAGCATGAGAATGACAAGATATGAGACAAACATGAATTAACAGGTTAAATTGCCTTTTGGCAATATGCAGTTTTACATAGATTTTGGCCCAGTAGCCAGGGCAGATAGGAAGGCTTTCTAGAGCACAGGCTCTCAACCTTTTTGGACTTGAAGCATCCCTCATTAGACATGAAGTGCTCCTGCATACCTTTTGTGAATTAAATAGCACCTTATTTCAAAAACTAATGTATTACAATGTTTATTTTTTTGCAGAGGGGCTGGGCTGTAGGGCAGGGAAATGGCTAAGAAGGGGCAAGCAGGAACCCATGCTTATCTGCTCATCCCCTTGCACCTTGCAGCAATCTTCAAAGGATCTTGTGGCACCCACAGTCCCGTGGCACCTTGCTTGAGAATCACTGCTCCAGAGGCACAGAGTAAGTATAGTCACTTCTATTCAGCCTCTGTTCTCTGCTACTAGAGGAGGATCAGTGGTCATGGGCAAAGAGCAAGACAAGGATGTACCCAAACCCTGCAGCTGTTGACAACAGGTATAAATTTAAGCTGTTTGTAGTAGTACAAGGGGACCAACTCAGCAGACTGCCTCTTCAAGGACTGGGATAGCAAGAAGGTCAACTTGTACATCCCATCCTGAGCTGCACTGTGCACACGATGGGGTGCAAGACTCACAGCACCTTAGTGAAGTAGAGTGCTGTTTTTTGTCTTTTGTCATGTGGGGGAAACTGAGGCAATGAAAAAAGTTAAGTACCTTGCCTAGGGCTGTAGAGCGAGAGAGATGAGGCTTCATTATTATAACATGTTTGGCATTCAGTAAACACAAGCTGCCCTTAGAGCGCTCTAGAAGTGGCTGATAAAGGACTCATCAAAAAAAGCCTACATGAATATCTAGATAACAGTGAGATGGAAACCCCCTCACTTTCTAATCTGTATGTGTTTATCTACTTTAAAAGGATAACAAAATACAAAATTCTCCATCTCCATTCCCTAAAAATATTCAGCACCTGGCACATCTGCCTACATTACTTTTATTTATTTTATATACAAGTGACACACTCCTCACTGTTGAGACAATCTTCTGTTCCTAAAGCTTCTGGGAGGTCTCCCCCCACCCAGGCATGGAAAGTCACAAGTGTTACTCTGCTGCCCTAGTAGCACCAACAGCCTGGGAGTTACCTCTGCCGCACATTTTGCCACCTGGAACGCAGGTTCTTTGAGATGTCCCACCACCTCCAGCTGCTGCAGCTGCTCAGAGCCCATCGCACCTTCGTCCTACCACGAGTCAACAGCTTTGTCCTTTAAGATCTTCAGTCGCTACTGCTGCGGCTGCCACCTCCTCGGTCTTGCTCTCCGGGACAGCTGACGAAGCAAATGTAAACAGAGTTCTGCTCGCCATGGCAACTCCAATCCCAGCCCTGTGCTCTGCTGTGCCAAGTTCCATAAGCCCCACACACGATATAGGCATCTGACAACCTTGAAGGGACCCACTGTTTATTTGGCACTGGATAGCAAGCATATCTGGTTTCCATTTTATTCGGTGAGAAGCCTGACCTAGATCTTTGCTTAGCTGCATCCCAGTTAACTGTTTTACTGCATCCCACCGTAATATCCAGAGGTGGAATTTGCAAGTGTACCTGGAAGTGATTGAGGTGCACAGTTCATAGACAGCAGAGACAGTTAAGCAGCAAATCAAAAAGTAGCAGAGAAAGAAGGAGATAAGTTGGTTGTTTTTTTTAAAATCAATAGAAATGGAGAGAATGATTAGTTTTTCTTCTCATCAAAGCTGCCTCCTGCTAAAACACTAACTCATAATTAAACTGGGGATTCATAATTAAATCTGTTTTTTACTGCTTGGACAATTCTATTAAGTTTTTAGAAATTGCAAGACAAAGTTACATCTCTTGTCACTTCTATGGTTCCTTTAAAGGTTTCTCAGTATTTTAACATTTATCTTGACGCAATCCCTAGAAGGTAGGAATGTCCTATTATTCCCATTTTGCAGATAAACAGCGAGGCATAGAAATACTGACGACACAGTGCAGAGCCATGTAAAGATGGCTCTGAACAGACTAGCTCAGGTACAGGAAACATTATCAGTGTCAGGAATCACGACTCTGTACCTCCCTGACTGACATGACTATGCCTTCTGAAGTCTATTGTAGACAGCCACAGGCACTTTTAGAAAACCACCACTAATTCATAGTATATTTGAGCATAATAAGGCACCACTGGAAGTGTAGAAAATTGTTCAGTTTCAGCTATAGCACCTAGTTTAAGTCAGTGCTCTTATTTTGAGAAGAGCTAAATGTATTGTTCCTAAAAAAAGAAAAATAGGCCAACAAAACTTAAGATCTTAGAAGTGCTTTCCTGAATTAAGGCCAGGCAAGATGAATCCAGTACAGGTAAAAATCTCACAAAAGAGATACTGTTCAGGACTTGAACAGCTGTAATTTAAAAATGAATGCAAGATGAAACAGGCAAGTGTGGTTATAAATGAAGATGTTATTCAGTTTGAAACGGCAAGTACCAGTCTTAACAATTCAAGGGACAATTGAACAGTGAAATTGGCCTTTTTTTCTTTGACAACATTTTGCATATAAAATGTATACAGTTTGGTCATATGGTTTAACAATTTTTTTTTAAGAAAAGGAAATTGCTTGAGGCCCTTATGAATGTTACTGTACCCATGCTTTTACTTATTCTGTTTAATAGACAGTGCTTATTCAACAGGAACATTAGAGGTTTCATTAATACTGATATCTGTGCAGCACACTAAAACTGCAAAGTTCAGTTTCAGTGGTAAAGTTTTTTTTATTTGCTTGGAAAAAAAAAAGGCAGCAGGTTCCAAAGATGTTATTTTAAATTCCAAAGTGTTGTAAAACAAAGTTCTGTTTACATTATGTAAAATGCCATTATGTTGTATTTTAAAGTTACTATAGTTGTAGTATAAATTTAAGAGGTATAGACCCAAGCTCTGAGTGAACTTGTAAACAAACATACACAAATTTGCCTGTGACTCAGGTTTTTTAAACCTACATTTATATCTTTCCCTTAGTAGTGATGCAAGGTCATTTTTAAATGTATAGCCAAATAAGCATTGTGAAATGCTCAGAGCTAGACATTAAAAGAAAACATTGAACCGTTCAGGCCAATAGCTATAAACTGTACACACTAGCAGAAGATTAAAAAAAATTAGAAGAAAAAGAAACCACTAACTATACAAAGGCTGTTAAATACAATCCTCAAATTTCTATGATCCTTGTCAGCAGCAACTTGTGACCCTGCTGACCATGGGCTTTGTGGTTTCTCTTGAAGATGTGAAAAGGATTGCTCAGGTTGCTTCACTCTCATCTTCAAGAGACTCTAGTATTTACACTGCTGTTTGTTTACCTCTATTTTTTTCCATTTCATCATTCCTCTTGTAGAAGTAGTGAGAGGTGACTGAGAAATACATGCAAAGCAGTTTGATTTGTGACATCTTTGGTGCTTTGAGGACAGTTCTAGGTCTATTTCACCCCACCTTGCCAGTGCGTCCTTTGCTTTTTTGCTGCCTGCACAAAAAGGAATATGGAACAAGATATGCTGGTTGTAGCTAAGTGTAGGCAAAATAGAAGTGATAGTGGTGATTAGAAGACAATATGCTAGAGCTAATACATGCTATTGAAAGCAGTGCCACCCCTCATTTATGAAACTGTGTAAACATAACTCAAAGTATAATGTTAAACCAAGTTAGCTATGCTTCAGCAAGCTGTGAGCAGACGCTCGTATTGGTTTAAACTTAGCTTACAGTAGTTAAATTTACACTTATAATTTATGGAGTGTTCTATTTTCATTTCATGACACAAATTAGTATGGAGGAATTAGTATTTCTCTTTACTTTATGGAAGACAGGGCTTATACTCACCAGAAGAAAAAAAGGATGTACCTACAGGCTAAGTACAGCCAGTCAAAAAGCCCGAGGTTAAATCAGTTCAGGCTTCACAGGTTAGTCTAAGCTGTGTAGATTGGACCGGTAAGAGAGTGAACAGACATTCTCTTTTGATTCTGGAAACGCAGCCACATGCCTGCAGTGGCGCAAGTCAGAGTCAGGGGGTGCTAGAGCACACCTCCTTGCCCTGCAAACACCTTGGGCCAAGACTAGCCCACCCATCCTGCAAGGGCAGGCTTCCAGGATAGGTGCAAAGCATCTTCGGGGGCTGTGAATTAACTTAAATCTGAAGGGGATCAGTCAGTGGCTATTTACAAACTAGAAATAGCAAAACAGCATCTACGAGAACTGGCTGTGAATGAAATGGCTATGACCTTGATTCCTGGTGGAATATTTGAATACTTGTCCACAGGTAAGGACATATACTCAATCTCTGTCCCTCTGAAGAGTCAGTTAAAAAAAAAAAAAAAAAAAAAGGAGTGAAGTGGCAAAACAAATGAACAGTATTAACAGAAACCAGAATCTCAAGACAGAATTCTAACTCTGTATGCATCAATCATGTTACAAGACTGCATTTATCTTTAATTAATTAATTATGGGAGCATTTTCTTATATTGATTACATCCAAAACCCAAATCTTAATAATGTCACTGTTTATCAAGATGTGACTTTGTGACATGATAGTTGAGGTAGTTAGCTGGCAGGAGCCTGAAGTCAGGCAAAAGGCAGGGTAGATTTGTACCTTGTAGACTAACTACGTACATCAGAGACGTACCTCTGATTTACCTTATTAGATGCAAATCCACCCTACCTTTTGTAAGATAGTTAAGTCATTAGGAACTTTTAATTGGGCAGGGGAAATACTTGGAGCATTTTGCTTGTATGACAATGGTGGATGAAAGGCATTTGTTTAACATGTGTTAATCAGGCTTACTTTGGAAGTCCTCTTAAACAGAAGCTGAAGTTGTCTTTTTACAAATCCAAAGCAATCAAAACAACTAATTATTCTTAAAAAAAAAAAAGAACATCACACGTGTGTGAACACAGAATACTAAGTCTTATAATTTTCATTTTAATAGAAATTTACACAGAGAGAAAATGAGTGGTGCAAACTTTCCAGAGAAAGACAACATTTATAGGCAATGAGAAAAGTGCATGGTTTCTCACTCTCGAGAACAGCTGAAAGAAAAGAAGTTGCTATTTTTAAACAAAACAGTACAAGATCAGTGAGTCATTCTCTTGTTCACATGTTGGCTTTTTTAGAGACTGCTCTATTCTTAGTCTTACAAATGATTGAAGCATCTGTAGTAAATAAGAAATCTTTCCATTTCAGGTACATCTAAGTATCTACTACATAACTGTAATACAGGGGTCAGCAGTAAGGGCCACTTTAGAGAAATACAGTTCCAAACGTACCACCTCAACCCTAACCCACGCTGCCAGAGCTGCAGCCAGAGTCACCACTCCAGCCACCTGGGAGTCAGCCTGCAGCACCACTTCTTCCCACCACACAAGGCCCCCTGGCTTTGCAGGCCAGATACACTAGCTCCGAGGGCCAGATGTGGGTTGCAGACTGCAGGTTGCAAAACACTAGTATGATCAGAGTTATACCAACACATTAGTGACAACTTGGGTGTTAATCTTCAGATTAACAACTCAAAAACAACATTTTTCTTAAACTTTAGTAATTAGTTTGCTTTCATTACACAGTCTCTTAGAGTTTAACCAAAGAAAGCTGTGACTTGTTTTAAAGCATTTTAGAATTCACATGATTATGAAATGGAGATTGAAGTCTTACACAAGGTTTTATAAGCCTGTGGCACAAGGCAGGATATGCTGTATATACAGCAGTATTGTCAACAAAAGTTACCTTGCTATGGTTTAACAACCAGGAGAACAATGTAAATATTATACCATGATTTTGTAAGAACAAACAAGATTTTCCTAGACAAGGTAAATACAAACTTATTTATACTTTTCTTTAGTTTTTTCAGCATCAAAAATCTTCAGTTATAAAATATTCTAGCTCTCTTTTGCAGGCTTTCCAGGTTACACAAACAAGATAGCATTTTTCCATTTTTGGAGGAAAGTTAGATAACAAATAAGCTTAAAAGCAACAATAGCAATTTTGGAGTTGGAGGATAATTTATTTTTAAAAATAAAAATTTACCCCCACTGCCTCACCTCCCCATATCAATTTTTAGATAAACTGACATGCCAATAGCTTTTGAAGGAAGCTGAGTTACAGCAGCACATTCCCAGTAGCCAGCTCAGCGCTTTGAATCTGCAAATGGACGAACACCCAGAATTGCCAATTCAGAGCAGTGGCTTTCTGTTTAGTCAATTAGATATTCAGCCATACAGGAATTTTTTTTTTTAAATAGTCAAACAAAAAATAAGAAAGATGTTGCAATAGACTGTAACTGAAAATTAAAAGCAGTGCAACAGATAGACATCTGATGGTT